AGATTGGATAAAATGCGACCAGGCAAACACGGACTACTACATCACGCAAGCCACGACTGGCCATGGAGTTGACGAGTAGCTGCACAGGATCCGCAATGCCGACTCTCCTACATGCTGGTATCTGGTATTGCGAGGGGTCAGACTCGGCTAACCATACACTATTTGAGTGTTACGCGCACGATGATATAGGGAAAACATAAAAACAGTATGTGGTACGAAGATCATTAGAGTAAACCTCGGAAACCTTCTGACATTATCGAACGAAAATATCGAAGTGATTTGCGGAATGTTAAGGAACATTATGAAGAAAAAAGAGAAGAACGAAAAGGACAAGATTTGGGTACAGACAAGACCAACATAGAAGAATGATAAGTCTCTAATTTCGATGAAATGCCCTCGGCAGTGCCGAGATTGGCGAGCTTAGAGCGGTTTGTAGTAGGTAGGCCCTCTCGCATGAGGGAGATCCCCACACTCCAGCCCTAAAGGCGTTTCCCATCTATAAAAAGAGTTCATACTTGATAACGGTCAGTAGTACAAAAACATTCCGAAGTTATTTCAGTACTGATTATCTATCAACTAACGTCTTAAATCGTACGATTAATTTTTGAGGCGCCGGTATTTAAACATAACGAAAGTCTTTCCCTTCCTTCCATCTTCTTTGAAAACGAGCAATTTTGACTTTCTCCTAGACACAAAATTTATAAAAAAAAACATCTTCTGGCTAGTTTCTTCGATGCTATTTATATTAGATTTAAACTTTTAACACTCTTAAAAATTATTTTTATGTTGGCTAATAATATAATTAATTAATAATCAACACGGATTTATAAGTTCGACAAAAAATAAGTTACACTGCTGACATTAAGTTGCGGATTAAATCAATATTTTACCTTGCTTTCTTATTTATATTTATAATAAGCGCAAATTGACAAAAGAAAACATAAATATATTTAGGTAGGATGAACTCATTTGTCTTCCTACTAATGGTAACCTTCAACTTGGTGTTTGTTCAGCTGTAATAAAAATAGTGGGCTACAATCTCAGGTGATAATTAATATATTTAATGTGTGCAGTTTCACATTTAAGTTTTGTTAAATTCTCCTAATTATTTATGCGCATAGGATATTTTAAACTAATAATAAGGATTAATTCATGAACAATTGCTGGAGATCAAAGTTCTGCAACATACTGTATAATTTAGTACATGTAGTTGCTGGAAATATGAAGAATATTACATACCATATATGATCGAAAAAACAAAAATTTCTTAAAAATCGATAAGAAAAGTTTCTCAAGATTTTTCAAGATTTTCTCAGAAAGAATTTCGCAAGATTATGTTTTGTCAATTTTTATTAAAATCCAGTATACCGGGTGCGTCTCAAAGGTGGCTCACCCCTAGAACTTTTTTATTTTTTCAGATAAAAAACGAGATTTGGTATGTTAGTATATGAAATAAATTAGGATTGATTGACATATTCAATTGTTTTCGGTCACAAAATGACTATATAACTTTTATTTTTTATTTGACACCCTCGGTATTTTTTTACTTTATTCGATAGAAAATGACATTCTGAATCGAATGACATATCATATATAAACTTTTGACATATTCTCTCAAAAATAAATTGTATTTTAAATTTCAATCTAGTGTGCCATAACTGTGTCAAAAACACTAATTATTTTTATTCAAGGAGCCTTGGAAAAATAGATTTGATAGTTTAATGTTTTATTGTTTTGTCCTGTCCGGTTAAAATCGCATTTTAATAATATCTCAATTTTTTCAAATGGAACGAGGGTGGCTCATTAACATATTTGGAAAAAGCATTTTTTACGGAAAATTTGATACCACACACTTGGTATTTCGAGTTAAATTGTCGTTATAAACCGCATGTTACAATTTCAAATAAACCATATGCAAAAATGTCAAAAGTTGACATATGATATGTCATTCGATTCATAGTGTTATTTTCTATCGAATAAAGTAAAGAAATACCGAGGGTGCCATTTAAAAATCAAAAACTGTAGTCATTTCCGGTGGAACCGGAAGTAAATAAGAAATGTTAGAAATGAAAGAAATATAAAAAATATAAGAAAAAATTGGTATTGTCAGTTTCTGTTGCTGTTGCACTCTCTTGCAGCCAACTTTTGAATATTAAAATAAATTATCAGTATCTATAAATATTTGTTTAAGTTCTGCCACTAATGGTTCCTGAGTAACAGCTGACATCCTCTATTATTAGACAGTGGCTTCACAGATTTTTTTACTCAAAAATAAGATTTATTTTTCAGTTAATTAGTTTATATTTAAAATAAATCAAATTAGTTGCACGGAAGGTAAGAGAGCTCATATTCAGATCAATATAGAAGCTCAAAAGGTATTTTTGTTCTGCGCAAGCGGTCGCAGCTTCATCAATTTCAATCATTGTATTTTTAAATGAGAGGTCTATATTCCCAATTGGATCATAAAGTACTCTTAAATTGTTAAAACACTGTTTACATTGTACTTTTTAGTGTGTGTTGAAATTTCCTAGTGTATGCTGAGTTTCTAACATGTTGCCAAGTATGTTGATTAGCATGCTCTTAGTGGCTTGCTTTCAGGCCTGGATTAAGGGGGGGGGGCTATGGGGGCTATAGCCCCAGGCCCCGTCATTGAGATGGGCCCCCGAATCAGGAGAATTTAATCGAGATTAGTTAAATGAAAATGTACATAGGTATTTAGTCTTATTAAATATATTGCAATATATTGCAACACAGACAACTTGTTATTCTCATAATGTTAAAAACAGACTCTTCTTTTTTTTTTGGGCGGCAACACACTTTCCCCAAAAAATATCAAGAGTGCTGCATAGACAATGGATCGTTCTTCTTTTTAAATTTTTCGGGATGGATGAATTACCGAAAGCCGAAAGCGCTAGAGGAATTACTCAGATTAGAATCCTCTTTTTTATTCTATTTGATAAGTAATTTTTGCATAGCGCATCTATGAAGTAAGCGATTGCGAATAATAGATTTAAGAAAACAAGAACAATAATACGTTTTTAACTGTGTAGTGTATACCAGTATTTTAAAAAATATCATGTAGCAGAAAATATCTTAGTGGATCTGCTAAACGTAAGGTAGGAATCAGTTTTAGCCTTATTACGCATTTACTTGATATGATCATTTACATAATAATTTTGGTATTGACAATTAAATTAACAATAACTTTCTTAAGTTTTCTTCTTTTAAAAATAAGCGCATTAATATATTATAAGTACCTTGGTATTTACACCCTCTTTGCTTGCACCCCTTTGACGGCACTATCACCCTTAAAATAATTTTAAATGGAATAGGGGGTCGAGTGATACCTTGTTTTAAAGGTCTTTTGAGTCTTTTTATATCTGTAGAGTTTGAAGTCTCTATTGCCATTCGCGCTGAATGGTAACGCCACTACTTTTTAAATAAAATTAATATTATTTTTGAAATCCCCATTCAATTTACAACATATTTTATTCCTTGACTTTTTTTGTCCGACGCACCATTTTTGCGTAAAAAAATAAACACCATTTTCATGCATAACCAAATCGCTAAAATGTTACCATAAATTTAAATAGCAAAATTTGTAAAACGGCAAATTTAAGTTTAAAAAGATTTTTTATTTTCCAAAAACTTCTTTCTTTGCTTGCACCCCTTTGACGGCACTATCACCCTTAAAATAATTTTAAATGGAATAGGGGGTCGAGTGATACCTTGTTTTAAAGGTCTTTTGAGTCTTTTTATATCTGTAGAGTTTGAAGTCTCTATTGCCATTCGCGCTGAATGGTAACGCCACTACTTTTAAATAAAATTAATATTATTTTTGAAATCCCCATTCAATTTACAAACATATTTTATTCCTTGACTTTTTTTAACTGACGCACCATTTTTGCGTAAAAATAAACACCATTTTCATGCATAACCAAATCGCTAAATGTTACCATAAATTTAAATAGCAAAATTTGTAAAACGGCAAATTTAAGTTTAAAAAGATTTTTATTTTCCAAAAACTTCTTTATGAACATAGTACGAACTATGTTCAACCAAAACTAAATTATTAAGTCGTTTTTCAAATTTTACCATTAAAATTTACATTACCATTTTAGCGATTTGGTCACATGTATGAAAATGGTTTTATTATTTCAAGCGAAAACGGTGCAATAATATTCAATTCAATAATATTTTGGTATTATAGTAAATAGTATAGTAGTGGTATAATAGATATTAAAAAGATCGTTTTTTTCTTAAAAGTTTAACACCCTGTATTTTGAATACGACGCATTTCCGACATTGGTGTATCCACATTATCCTAAAAGCAGTATATCGAGTAACGGCCTTGAATAGATTTCCAGTAATTTATTGGCTGAAAATTCATCTGTCAGAAATTTTATCTGTCAAAAATTTCTGCCAATAGAATTACTGGAAATCGATTCAAGGTCGTTACGCCGATACGCCGTTTTCAGGATAGTGTGGATGCACCCTCAGTGTCCCATCTCAAAACGTTTATTTTGGCGAGATCTACCAACCTTTAGATTTTGGTACAATAGTTTCGGAACACTCTGTATTTTTAAATCTACGAAAACTTAGGGATATTTTAAATTAATTTAAGATATAAGAAGAAAACCTAAAAAAAACTTTAAAATTGCCTAAAGTAACAGATTTTTTTAGTATTTGCAAAACCCCTTCAACGTCAAATTCTGAGTTGAATAAACACCAAGATCATGAACTGCCTTCCTGTTCAACTTCAAGCAATATTAGTTTAAGTGAAAATAACAGCAATGAGGAAAAATAATCCGACCTGGGGGGCCCCAAGGGTAGCCCCTAGCCCCGGGCCCCCTAGGACCTTAATCCGGCACTGCTTGCTTTAGTGCATTTAGCTAAAATTTGTAGTTGCTTTGCTAATAAAATTTTACCTATATTGTGGTCGAAATAAAACGTTTTAATGGGCACTTGGTTATGAGTTGTAAAGTGTACTTATTTATTACCTGTGACCAAGCTAGTAGTGGACCTGGAATGGACCGCCATCCTGCCCAGATTCGAAGTGCTTTGGGCGGGCAACTCGCTGCCGCCCACATACGCCGATTTGGGGCGACTCCTCGGCAGCGACGTGTTGGCACAGTGATCGCTTAGGATGGACGCCTCGTGGTACCCGGAACTATCGCTGCTATTCCTCGAATGGCAGATAGTCAGTCCGTTGTCGCTTGCTTTCTTCGGGGGAGGTTCTTGGGGAAGTTCCGCCCTACCTGCAACTAAAAATAAGTCTGTTAGTTCTTTAATGTGTGCAAGTGAGTAATTAAATGGCATTTATTATATAATTTTACATAAGAAATAACAGCCATCGTTATTTCCAGGATAGCTCGTTGTCGAAGCCTATTTTTGGATCATAGTCATGTATGTGAATGAATCATAATTAAGAATAATTTGTCAAAAATATTTTGAAAGAATACTTAAGAAAATTTATTCTGCAATAGTAGTAATGAGCGAGACTAGGCATGGTTTTGCACCAAAAGCACGACCAAGACGAAGACTGATCAGTGAGTGCAACACCAATACCAGACCATACCAAGACAACATGCAACACATTGTACAGTCAATCCGGCATCAAAAAAGGCCTAGACTCCAATTAAATTACCCCCATTCTCATACTTTGCCAGTCGTAAGTGGTCCACTAGAAAAGCTTAAGTTCGAAAATTCGTATCCCCCCATCCCACCGCTTTTCAAAAACTCAAAAAAATTTTGGATTCGATTTTCTGGCTGAACCGTAGATACCACAGAAAATTTTATAAACAGAAAATGAAGAGAATTAAATTCTCTACAAAACACAGCTTTTTGCATCTTTCCGGGTGAAACCATTTTTTTACTGTTGCAAATTTTTTAAAAGAAAAGAGCATAAAAAAATATCAAATTGATGTGTAACTTTTTTTACGTTTTACTGTTTATGAGATATATTGTATTCATTCCCACAATGTGTATGCAACTTTGAACTTTTTGAACTGAGTATCGTTATAACATTCTCTGACCGTTTTGAGATATTTTTATGTGCGCTGACGGTAGCGCTTTTGGGAAACTGAAAAAAATTTTTGGATTCTGTTTTCTGGCTAAACAGAAAATTTTATAGAACAAAAAATAAAGAGAATTCAATTCTCCACAATTTCATTTTTCAGTAGCAAAGCTGTAAAACCTACCGGGACAAAGTAAAGTAAAGATTTGAAGTTAACGTCGAAATGCAAGTATTATGCCTCTGACTTTAAACAGAAGATAGTTGCATTATATCAAAAGGGTGTGAAGCAAATTGATATTTCTAGGCGGTTGGACATCCGAAGGGGTACAGTAAGTAAGATTATTAAGCGTTATTTACAAAGAGGGACTGTAGATCCCGCAGTTAAAAGTGGAAGACCGCGAAAAACTTCCTTAAAAATGGACCACATAATTTCAAGAAAAGCCAGAAGCGACCCAAAAAATGTGCCGTTGATATTAACAAGGAACTTAGGGAGGAATACCCAGATGTAAACGTTTCTGACATGACTGTTAGACGGCGCTTACTAAAGGAGAACCTTTATGGTAGACGCTCCGTTAAAAGCCCTTGTTAACGAAGCGCCACAGAATGGCAAGATTAAAGTTTGCTAGAGATCACAAAGACTGGACACAAAATCAGTGGGCTTCAGTAGTTTTCAGTGATGAAAGTAAGTTTAATTTATTTGGAAGTGATTCTACAGGATATGTGAGAAGGCCTCCTGGTCAAAGATTTGACCCAAAGTATTTAATTCCAACTGTCAAACATGGTGGAGGAAACCTGATGGTGTGGGGATATTTTAGACGATCTGGTACTGGTCCGTTAGTCAGAATTGATGGGCGTATGGATGTTCAAAAGTATGTTGAGATATTGGAGAAAAACTTGTTGCCATACGAAGATGATCTGCCTTTGTCATGATTTTCCAACAGGATAATGATCCTAAGCATACATCTCGACTTGTGAAGAATTGGCTTTCAAGGGAAAAAATTCGGGTTTTGGATTCGCCTTCTCAATCGCCCGATTTAAATCCCATTGAGAATCTTTGGATGCAGTTAGAAAAGCAAATCAGAAAAAGACAAATCACAAACCGAGAAGATTTATGGGTAGTTTTGCAGGAAGAGTGGCATAAAATTTCAATTGATTATTGTGCAAAGCTAATAGACTCGATGGGAGAAGATGCCAAGCAGTTATTAAAGCCAAGGGATGGCCGACTAAGTATTAAAAAAATATTTCAATTATTGATTGAATAATATTTTTTTTGTGTATCCTTTAGAAATGTTTCCATACTTTTGTTAACCATTTTTTTGAATAAAAATTTATTTTCTAAATATTCTTAAGTGTATACTTATGTTTTTAATGTATGATATTTTATTTAAATTTACTTAAATTAAAAATAGTATTTTATAAAAAAAAACATAATAATATACATATTATGTACAATATTAAAGGTTTATAAAATGTTTCCATACTTTTGTTCGCCACTGTACATATTGCCGAAAAACGTCAGGTGATCGACTAGTTAGTGTCGGAATGCGGACCAGAGGGCGACAATAATCTGAGCAGCAGCTGCGTACTCGAATACTGGCGCGGCAGCCCGCGTCATTGGCAACAATATCCCGTAAACAGTGAAACGTAAAAAAAATTACATATCAATTTAGTAGGTTGTTTTATGCTCCTTAATTTTAAAAACTTTGTAACAGTAAAAATAAGGTTTCACCCGGAAAATGCAAAAAAACTGCGCTTCAGTGAACGCAGTTTTTTTGCATTTGATTTTGCGCCCTCTGATTTTGTCTCCGTAGGTTTAAGAGGTTTGTGACTTAGAAATGAAAATGTAGAGAATTTAATTCTCTTCATTTTCATTTCTAAGTATAACAAACTTACACAGTTTTGTTACAGAAAATTTTCTGAGACCTATGGTTCAGCCAAAAAATCGAATCCAATTTTTTTGAGTTTCTCAAAAACGGTGGAGTGGGGGGATACGAATTTTCGAATTTAAGCTTTTCCAGTGGACCACTTACGACTGGCAAAGTATGAGAGCGGGGGTACTTTTATGCGAGTTAAAATGTCTTTGTTTGTTATGTTTTTATTTACATCTCATTTTTCATGGATAATCCGTAATTAAAAAAAAACATTTTTTTTTGTATTTTACTTAGCCCGCCCAAAAAATAGATACAAACATGGTTAAATTGGGGCAAAGTTACCCACTTTGGAATGTTCACCAATACGCCATCAAAAAAGTTTTAAAAATTTCAAGGATTGCGATCCATCTTCCGGGGAAATTATTTGATTGTTTATATTATGTATTTATTTTATATAATTTTTTATTATTTTATTTCATTGGATTTTCCGTATTCAATGTTTAACCCCACGTCGTTATTGAGTTTGAAAGCTTATCAATATTGTAACGAATTCATCGTTATTATTTTTATTAGATTAAATATTAAAAAAAACAATGCCGGACTTGAAATTAGTTTAAATAAATTGTGTTCAAATGTCCGAAACAAAAAAATATTAAGTGTGGCGTATCATTGTACTCAGGAGACCGAGTTCTTTCAAAACCTGAAATACAAAATGCAGGTCCGCATTTAAAAATATTAAGTTGGCCTCTGTATCTCACAAATTATCAGCTAATTTCAAAATCTATAAATACCATCAGATAGCCCTGATAAAGTGGCAATAAGAATGAGCAATTAGCTTTTTTGATTTCCTATAAAGACAAAGAAAAATTGATTTTCAGAAAAGCCGGTTTTTTCCAAAAAACTCAGCAATCCTTGAAATTTTCAAAACTTTATTGATGGCATCTTGGTGAACATCCCAAAGCGCAACTTTGCCCTAATTTAACCATGTTCTTTCTATTACGGTTACCGGGATACAAATGCTCGTACTTCGAATTCAGCAGACATCAGAGGTCTGAAGAAGTTGATGAAATACAATGATATCGTATATAAAGCCAATATCATTCCAAGAAAATATTTTATTTCAATGACAATATTGTTTTCAATTCAATGTAGAATAACTATTACTAAAAATATACTTATAAACAACAGACTTTTAAATCATTGTCTATGTCATAATTAAAAATGTATCATAACCGGTTTTTCACATCATTAATTCATTAGGAAAATAAATTAAACATTCATTTAAAGGTTTATAGAGCAGGTGTAAATATCATAACATTATACTTGCGATTATAAAATACTACCATCGATAATTGAATCAATATTTCTTATAACAAATCAAGACCTTAAAAGAATGTGATTATTCAGTGCAGGTTATTTAATATGTAAATATTTGCCTAGCCAAAGTCATTGCATACATATTATTTTTTATTGAATAAATTATAAATTTAAGTAACAATTTTATATCTAACTAAAATAATGCTTTAACAGCAAATATTTTAAAATCACTTAATGATTATGCTCTCAGGATTCAAAATATATTTAAAACAATACTGCATTGTCAAAATGCGTGATAATAATATAATAAAAAATAAGCAAGAGTGGCAGCTATATCGTTTCTAACTAAAATAATTTATATCTATATTCTATATTATACTTTTGATTATACTCTCTATTTTTTTTTCAAAAATGTTTTATTAAAATTAATCACACAATTTTAACAATTCTTTACTATGAACAATTCTGTCTTTGTTTATACAGAATTTCAAATAAAAACTATTAAATAATTTAAAATAAGAAAAAAAACCTTCACCATTTTATCAAGAAAAGTTCCAGTTTATTGAAAAACAAATATAAATAGCTAATAATAAATTAAAAATCTTATTATTGCAGCTTGTTATTTTAAACAAAATTAAGATATAAATATACCTCCAATGATTTATTAAATAGGTAACATATAATAATAGAGATTAACGTCAAAGTGTGTTGGTGAAGAATTAATTATTAATTCAATTTGAAGATATCAGCATGAGCTACTGCTGAGGTGCTTCACAGTGGCAACTCATTATGAGTAATGTGTTGTCATCTGACTACATGAAAACTACAATACTGATAAAACTAATAGTAGCTAAAAAAACTCAGATATAAAATATCTAATTGGTTATAACCGACATCAAATATTTTAAAAATTATTATTGCTAGACTAAGAATTGTTCTAAGAACTAAGTAGGCAACACCTTAAAAAAAAAGTGAGAGTTGTGGATTTTTAAATTTCCTCAACTATTATTAAGTTTATAATATATCGGATCTTGCCGACTACGCAACTTATATTTGTAAAGAATGCTATCATAAATTTCAGCGATAAACGGAGTAAATACATGAGGGACATAAAAAATACTCGACATAAAAAATGAACATTAGAAACTAGACCTAAGCAGCAGAATAACTAACATTAGTGATGGGCATTATGATTCTTTTTCGTGAATCGAATGACACGATTCAATTTCTCATATTGAATGGATTCCAGGATTCGCTCATTGGTTCGTTCACCACATGCACAATTTACGTTTCATAAAAACAAGAATCGTAACTGGCACTACCGGCGATAATTTGGTCGGACCATTACTTAACCCAAGCAGCATTTGGACGTCGGGACAACGTTGTGTCACGCGACCAAACGTCGGGGCGCAACGTCGGCACAACCTCGTGCCAACCCTAGTCTGCACTAGTTTGGAGAATAATTTTTGGGTCGAAACGACGTTGGATACCGACGTTGGCTAGAAGCCTAATTTAGTACAAACTGCAACGTTGTTTAAAATCCTAATTCACAGAAATACAAAACTAATATGGCGTCTAAGTCGCGTTTTATCCTAAATTGGGGTAATTATCGTATAGTAAAAATATTATTTTTATGATTTAGTTAGAGACATATGTCAGATGGCGGTGAAGGAAAACAAAACAAAAGTATTTAAGTGTGGAGGATGTTTGAAGATCATAATTATTGAAACACTTTAACCGACTCTGTACTCGTTACCCAAGGCAAAAAAGTTAAACGCAAATAACTTTATTGATAAATGTATTGTTTCTACTTTGAAAAATACTAATGGGCCTTAAAATTAAAGAAGTTTTAAAAATTTTCTTGAATTTTTTTAGTAAATGAGAATAATTTATTCGCAGTCGAAAAAATTGTTTCCGCGTGTTTTTAGGGTCAAATATTTCAAGTTAATGTATTCAAAAAAGCAGGAATTGCTATTTTAGGAACAAAACATTTTCTTATTTAACAACATGGCGGCTTTCACTTTGTTGTTTTGGAGATTAAGATGGAGTAGTTCGAGTAGTCGCATACTACTAATAAAGTCGCAGTTCGGATTAAAACAGGTAGTATACTAGTCGCAAGATTGCCTAATTTAGTCATCCTAGAGTCTAGCTTGTGCCGCCCTCTATAATCTAAATAAACGAGGGAGTGGATAAACTATCGGTAATATATGTCGATGTATATTTAAATTTAGTTTTATATGTACCTTTCATATGTTCCATTTTAATTAAGTTTTTTTTTATAAAAACAAAAACAGCACTGAACTGTCTGACTGAACAGAACAATGAAGTGAAAATTTAAGATTTAAGGTTATGGTTCAATACAGTTGCAAAAAAGGTAGTGACTCGACGTCCTACCAACGTAAGAATAAGGAAATCTAAACAACGTTGGAATTAGTAAAACAGACGACGTTTGCATAACGTTGGAATAGGTCCTGAAACTGACGTCGGAAAACTCTATATTGTCCAACGTTGTAACTACGTTGTCCGAATCACCTAAAGATCACTTAAGCAAAAAAGGTTACAAGACAACGTTTATTCGACGTCGCAGAAGCTTCTACTTTGCTGTAGTACTAGTCCAACGTCGGCACAACGTTATAAAAACGTTTAAATTTATTTTAATATCCAAAGTAGGGAGTTGTACTATTTTTTGTAACTAATCCAACGTTGTGTTTAGTAAACATGTGATCGCAAGTCGTGAAAATGCTACTTGGGAAGGAACCAGAAAAGGAAATATACAGTTCTTTCATTTGTTTTTCAACACTATGACGCTGGCGTAATTGGATTGATAATTTTACCAATAATATTAAGTTAGCAATCCAATTCTTATATACATATATCATATATACATATACTATTTATTAAAGACTTCTTAATACCAATTTAATATTTTTAGAGCCATATTTTAATTCTATCAGAGTAAATGATAAATGTTTGAATAAATTTTTCAAATTTCAATCCTTCATATTTTCTCAACGACTGGACCGATTTTCAAAAACGAAGCGGGGAAATATAGAGAATAGAAAGATCTTTTCATTGCGGTGCCACTTGACCCCCCTTCCCATTTGAAAAAAGTTGGAGGATGACACCCCCGCTTAGAGAGTTGAATATTTTGCAATTATTTTTGGGGCAAAAGTTTTGCCCCCTCACAAACAAAATTGACGTGTGTTTGAATTTTCTGAAAAAAAAAATTACTCTGGCTGTTATGCCTTGCGGAACGTTTTCGATGGGCCACCCTGTATATTGAGCTTAGCATAATTTATTTGGAGTTGCATAAAAACACGATTTCGTACGTCTTTTAGTCCGACATTTAATGGTTTATAGTCGGTAATATTACTTTAACAAAAATATTAACGTGAAAATTAAATAAGCACTTTACAGATACTCTCGTGCTAAGCACAGTATAAATAAGTCTTTTTTCTTGTAAATAACTTTCTTATCGTTTGCATTTTATGCCCATGATGTTTGTTTAGGGTTTTTGTTCAAGTCTAAATATTGGTGCCTAACTCTATGCCTATATCACCGCTGCGCCGCGCTGTAGAAACGAACGATCTCACTGTGATCCGATTCAACTGTCACAACCCTTTTTTACGGCTCATCGTTCAAATGTTATGGATCCGTGCTGGCCACGATTCAATTGAACGAACCGTATTCTAAGCAGTGAATCCTATCTAACGATTCATTTTTAATAGTCGTTTAAATGAACGACTCGTTCAATCTTTGCCTACCTATAACTAATATAATCAAAAGAGAAACTTTATCAGACGAGAAAATCAGGAATTACAGACCTGTTTAGTAAAATCAACAGAATTCAGTGGTCAGAGATGTTTGTCGAGGAAGAGACGAAAATTTAAAGAAGCTGATTTTACATTTAAAAAAAATCATGATATCAGGGTTTGCTCGAAAGTAGTAGACAATGCTGACATTATAAAATACCAATCTGACTGTTATCAAGTGTGAACTGATCTCTAAAATCCAAACAAGTCCTAAAACGTATATAAGCTACCATTATCTCTTACTCCATATAAGCTACGTATTATATGGTTATAAAAGTTACCTGCTTCATTCTTGTCACCACTATCTTCGCTCCTCGTGTCCGAAATTTGGATTTGAGGAGGTTTCGGAGCGGGTCGTCTTTTCCTTTGAGGTGGTTTTGGTCGTTCGGGTGGAGGATCTTTCTTTGGTAAAGCTACTATGGGTGGCGCTTGAACCGCTGGAGGTGTCACTGATCGGGAATCGTCGCTGTGTGTCGGCGAAATGGATCTGTTGTCGCTGGATACCGATCCGGAACCCATACTCTATATATACAAATAATATAAACATGACAAATATATAAATAATATAAACATCTTAGAATAAAAAGTTACTCTGATGGTTATAAGTTTCATATCAACTAAGCTGTAATTAAATATTGTAAATATGCAACAGGACGAAAAATTGAGTTTTCCATTTAAAATATTAATATTTAGTTTTTTGAAGCTAATTTTTATCATACTTTATTGAACACTCTTCACAATGTTTAATAAATTATTACACAAATTTAAGTTGAATCAGATTATAAAAAACAGAAAATCTAGTATTTTTAAAAATACCTACTAGATTTTCTTAGTAATTCTTTTTTTTTATTATTTAATTTCAAAATGCTAGTTTGTTGCTAAAAAGCTTACAAAAGACTAAAATATAACGGGTGGTTTTCAAAAGTGGCTTACCCATAAAACTTTTTTATTTTTTCAAACAAAAAACGATAGTTAGTATGTTAGTATATAACATAAATCAGGATTGATTGACGTATTCAACTATTTACGGTTACGTCCTGTTTCACCACGGAAATTACAACTTTTGATTTGTAAATGATACCTATCCTCGGTACTGTTTTATTTTATGCGATAGAAAATTAAATTCTGAATAGAATGACATCTTATAGGTAACTTTTGACATTTTCGCTTAAAAATAGTATTTTAAATGTCCATCTAACGAATCATTGCTTTTTCATAACGATAAATTGAATCGAAATACCAAGAATGTGGTACCAAACTTTTTGTAAAAAAATGCTCTTTCCAAATGAGCTAATGAGCCACCCTAGTTTCTATGTGAAAAAAATTAGTTATGATTACAAATACGATTTGGGCATTTAACCGGATGTTAAGGTCTGTTAACCGGACAGAAAAAATGACGAAAAACATAAGACGATCAAATCTATTTCTGCAAGGCTCCTTGATAAAAAAAATAGTTATTTTAACACCAACGCTAAAATATTAAAGATAAATTATAAAATATAAAGAGTTACGAGTATGTATGTGGTCATTATTTCTTTGTAAATAAATATTTTAACGTTTTTCTTCAATGTATCTTCAATCGTAGCAGATTGCACAACGCTCAATGAAACGAAATATGCTGGGAATAACCAAGAGAGAGAGTAAAAGAATAGAGTGAATACGACAAAAGACCCAGATAATACATGTCATCCACAGAGTCAAATCCCTCAAGTGGCAGTGGGCAGGACACCAACCTGGCAAGAAGAACGGACAACAGATGGACCACAAAAATTACTGCATGGTACCACGATGAATCAAGCGACCTAGAGGAAGATCAAGCCTGAGATGGGACCATGATATTAAGAAGTTAGCAGGGATAATTTGGGCCCGCAACTATAAAGAGGGTATCTAAATGTGAGGAAGGCTACACCATAATTGGAAATGGTTGAATTAGCTGAGATTGATATGATGATAATATCTTCAATATATAATGAGTAGGTAAAACCTCTCTATATATAAAAGCTAAAAGATAATACTAGCTAGTATTTCAATTTTACAGGAATTTCAAACCAAACCAAACCTCTTATGTAAGTGTTAATAAAAACCTTACATTTTTACTGCAAAAAAAATGAAACAATATTTTATTAAAACATATTAACTAGGTAATTTAATTATGTGATTTTATGTTTTCTGTTTATTTTTTTTTTAATTTACATAATACAAGTTAATTATTTTCAAAGTTTTAAAGATATACAAACATATATGAATATTCAAGCAAAGTCAAAATCAATTTATTGCGAGTTTAAGTTGTTAATATATATATATATATATATATATATACAGTGTGACCCACTCAAGACCGGGCACCCTCCATAAAATCTGTGTTTATAGTCCGATTTTGATGATTTTTTTTTCAAATATAAAGTTTCAAAAAATGTACTTTAGGGCTCAATGTCATGTTATTTCACAAAAAACAAGGCCTACTTAATAAAGTTTTTGTGGTGAAAAATTTGCAAAATCATATTAGCGATTTTTTCAAAAATTTGAGTACACCCTACATTCGGCATCCCCAAAACAGTTCTGTACCAAATTTCGTTTAAAAATATTAATTATTAATAATTCTGCAGTTAAATTAAATAATTCCCTATTTTTGCCAATTTAACGATGAGTTATCACGTAACCCTTGAAAAAAACAATCCACAACAATGGGTTTTATTAGCTGTCAATTCTTGCAGCGTAGAATTGAATATTAATTTAATAGCACGCAGAAAAGTGTTGTATCAAGAAATATTATTTGCATTATGGAACAATTAAATATTAGGGATAAAATTGAAATTATTCGTTTAGTGGGTGATAACTATCTTCAAGCAGGAGAAGCTGCCAGAGAATTTAACAACAGACATCCCGACAGACCTGCAGTAAGTAGAAGCACGGTTCAACGAATAAATAGAGTTTTTAATGAAACTGGTTGTGTGTCAAAATACTTACTAAAAAACAGAAGGCCGGAACATCGAATAAATAGGCGGAATGAGGAAATATTAGAATATTTTCGTAACAATCCTCGTGCAAGCATTAGAGGCGCCAGTGTTGATTTGGATATACCAAGGGAAAATATTAGGAGATGTTTGCGAACTAATAAAGTTAAACCCTTTAAACCAAAGATTTTACACACTTTGGAAAACGGAGATGATGTTAGACGATTAGAATTCTGCTTATGGGCTCAAGCAGAGTATTTAAATAATAGAAATTTCTTAAAAGAAATTTTATTTAGTGATGAGGCAACATTTAGTACAAACGGAGTAGTATCCTCTCAAAATTCGCGATTCTGGGCAGTCGAAAACCCTGAATGGGTGATCAATACAAGAAGACAGTATTCTCAGAAATTAAATGTGTGGTGTGGCATACTTGATGATAGAATCATTGGTCCATATTTTTTTGAGAGAAATTTGAATAGTCCAACGTTTTTGAATTTTCTGATTAATGACTTTTGGGATGCAATACATAATTTACCATGCCAAACCCGTTTGAATTTAAAATTTCAATTGGACGGATCACCTGTGCATAACGCGGCAGTTGTCAGGGAATGGTTAAATGAAAATTTTGAAAATAAGTGGATAGGTCGAAATAGCCCGCTAATTGGTGGCCACCGAGATCCCCGGACCTAACACCCCTTGATTTCTTTCTTTGGGGTTTCTTAAAGCAACAAGTTTACAAGTCTAGACCTCAATCTGTAGATGAATTACGTATTAGAATTACAGAGGCTTCTGCAAATATTACACCACAGCAGCTTAGGAATGTAACTGTTAATCTAAGAAAAAGATGCGACAAATGTATTGAACTGAATGGAGGGCTGGTAGAAGCAACTAGAATTATTTGAATATGTTTAACTTATTATTCGGTTATTGTGTTGCTTGTAGTATTTTTATCATTGTTTGTAATAAAACTCGTTGTCGTGGATTGTTTTTCAAGGGTTACTTGATAACTCATCGTTAAATTGGCAAAAATAGGGAATTATTTAATTTAACTGCAAAATTATTAATAATTAATAATTTTAAACGAAATTTGGTACAGAACTGTTTTGGGGGATGCCGAATGTAGGGGTGTACTAAAATTTTTTGAAAAAAAATCGCTAATATGATTTTGCAAATTTTTCACCACAAAAACTTTATTAAGTAGGCCTTGTTTTTTGTGAAATAACATGACATTCAGCCCTAAAGTACATTTTTTGAAACTTCATATTTGAAAAAAAAATCATCAAAATCGGACTATAAACACAGATTTTATGGAGGGTGCCCGGTCTTAGTGGGTCACACTGTATATATATATATATATATATATATATATATATATATATATATATATATATATATATATATATATATATATATATATATATATATATATATATATATATATATATATATATATATATATATATATATATATATACAAAATGGAACTATCATAAAATGGTCAGATAATTATGATGGAAATTTAATTATTAGCAAGTGATAACCAGTTCCTTACATAATTTCATGACATATATGAAATTTATGATTAATTTTGATACTACACTGTACCAAAAGTCGACATAAATATAATGAAAAAGTTCATTAATATAATGAATTAAATCATTAATTTTGAGCCGATGAACGATTTCATTGGCACAATGAAAAGTAATTCATTAACTCTATGAACTTTAAGTTCATTAAATCAATGAACAGTGTTCATTAATTTGAAGAACACATTCATTGGTACAATGAACAGATTACATTAATACAATGAAATAATTTCATTGTATTAATGAACCGTATCATTAATACAATGAAATAATTTCATAACCTATTTAGTTATACATTTAAAAGTCGACACTATTAGTAACTCTTGTTACACCGTATAATCGATGATGAAGATCGCTGTCATTGATATGAAATGTCATTGATAGTCATTTCCCAGCCAACCACCTGATAGGTTCTACTATAAATAGATTTCCATTTGAACAAGCCCTTAGCTACAAAGGTAACAAAATTACTAATAGTGCCGACTTACTTACGAGCACAGTAAATTTTTCCATTAGGGATTATTAATAAAAAACAAGTGCAATAAACTAATAATAATTTATTAAACTCGATATAGCATATACAAATTAAAAATTAAAAAAATCGAATCGACGAAGAGAATAGTAATGTTATTATTAATTTTAGGGTAAATTATAATAAGAAAATTAATTTACCAGTCGATATCCTGAGGGATTTCTATAAAAAGACCATTTCTTCATTATATCAGCTGTATCCTTAGACTTGATAACGTCTAGACGAATTTGCAACAGGCTTTCCAAGTTGCATCAAGTGGGTCCGATGTTAAATTGTCGAATTTGAGGGCTTGAAGGCAGGTCTCAACATCTTCTTCCGGTTCTAAAAGACGTATATCAAAATAATTAAAATTCCAAATATTAAAAGAACATTCGAATTTACCATAATCAGTTCCATGCCTCGACTTGTTACTATGTTTTTCTCCTTTTTGTTTTTTATCTTCTGAAACAAATTTGGAAACTGCTGTTTTAATGAATACCCACACCAGAGATCTCACACAGCGGAATTTGATTTGACAACACAACAAATTAACTACAATACGATAGGACTTTTATTTAAAATATTTAAAATATTGAAGAGAACACTTACCGCTCTAATGAAACTAAAGCCTCACTGAATAACTCAACCACACAGACGTTATTAGTACCATTAGACTTATTATAAGTACCAAAGTAACCGATCAACATGGCGGACATTTAAGCCCTAATATTTTATTCATGATATCAATAACCGCGTACATTAATATAATGTAGTGTGTTCGTTGTATTAATAACATTGTTCATTGTCACTATGATTTAGTACATTAATATAATGAATATGTGTTTATTAAAGTTTCAGCACTAAAATAAAGAACGCGTTTATTGGGACAATGAACGCGTTCATTATATTAATGAAAATCTTACATTAATTTAATAACCAGATTTTCATTATATTGATGAAATTAGATTCATAGTATTAATAAATCGGACATCGATCTATGATTAACAAATCATTATATTAATGAAAAGAATCATTGTCCCAATGAAACAACAGTTAATAAACAATGTTCATTAATATTATGAACAATATTTTTTTCAGTGTATGTATAATTTATATCGATAAAACCTTACAAGTATCTTTTTACGTTAGCTTAGTATGTAGATATTTTTTAAATTAATAAAAGATAAAAATTCTGAAACTCACCGATTTTCCTCTTTTAAAAATTAAATTGAAAACGCCACCTCCTGTCTTGTTGTGCATTTGTTTTCTTTCTTCTTCTTTTCTTAACGACATGATGTCGGCGGTTGAAAATGCCTGATTCAGGTTAGCGGTTCCTTTGGCAACAACGTATATTTCGGTGATTTGATAGTCGCTCAGTGTCAGTTTTGGGTTCAAAACTGTATCCAGATTTCCTGAAATAATACAGATTTCGTTAGACAATGATTCCTATTGGACAAAATTGGAACAAAGTAAAGCCACGTTTATGTCTTTAATTAATATTCGGTGGTAAAGCTCTATTTAAAATTTGAATCATATTGCGGAGTAAATTATAATTTCGGAGCAAATTATAATTCCAAAATCTGAACTATTTGACATAAACAAAAAAAAACAATGTAAATAATTTCAAGATGAAAAATTAAGTCCATGTTGAAAGATCAAAATACCGATTAACATGATTAACATTTATGCCATTCTGCAACGCAGCAAGAAATTTTGTTTTATGGGAAAAAAGTTTTTATCTATATATTTGACTAAAAATCGTTATTTTTGACAATTTTTGAGTTGTTTCCATTTTCTAAAGAAATAATTTAAGTGTTTCCAGTAATCCGAACGCCTCGATGACCCAGGGCATACACCTGGATTGTCGAGGCGTCCGGATTACGGAAGGAACAATATTTGCCCGGACTACTGAAGTTATACTGTACTTCTTTCTTGAATTTATGAATATATGACGACTATATTAGCATTGTAGGATGCTGATTAAAAATGCATTATTTTAATTATCATTATTTATCACAATATAGTTAAAATAATGCATAAGGCACTATACTAATAGTTCCTTATACTTCATGGTCATGGGTATCATTTTATTATTAGTATATAATTGTCAATTTAAAAAAATTGTGTATGCACTACGTGCACATATTTGAAGTAAAACTTCTTACTAACAGCTGTTAAATTGAGGTATTTGAAGGATATATAATTTTTATGAATTATTTTTTATAAAGTTCAAAAAAATTAAAGTTAATATAAAACCGTATACTATTCTAGCTTTATAATTTTATTTTTTTTTTATTTTCTATTAAAAAACGATAAAACTATAATTCTATCAATCGGCCGGATAGTCTGGCATCTGTGGCCATTAAACCAATATACTAATACATCTACAGGGTGTCCCAGTTTGAGCGTGCATTAGAAGTTTCTAGAGAACCACAATATCTAGATCAGAGATTCATTGTTTTACAACGAGATCTATCGATTATAAATATTTTCAATACGGCGGCACTTCCGGAAATACTGGAAGTTAACTACAACTTTTTTATTTTAAATGGCCGCTCTGTAAAATTCTATGAATATTGATGTTAAACACTCTATATCTAACATTAACCGTTTTTGAGAAAAAAAATACTTAAAATTTTTGGACGAAAAAAAATACCTGTCAAAAAAATTTGTATAGCCTAAAAGTCAAATTTAGTGATTGCTACAGCTACTGTGACATAAAGAGGAGATATGTAGCTATCTATTTCAAAAATTAAATTGTTCAAATGTCATATGATAATGGCGGTAGCTGTCATGGAATTGTGTGAATAAAAAGTTATCATAATTCATTTTTTTCAAATGGAAACCTAGTTTTTTATTTCAATAGTGAAAAGATTTTTTTACAATTTGTTACTTTTTAACTATACATGTTCCTATACCAAAAATAAATCGTTTTTAAGTTATTTAAGATCTAGTTTGAAAACGTATATTTTTCTTGATTTTATCTAGCTATAAGTCAATAATTTCCATCTGTCAGATTACACACAATTTATTTCCATCTGTCAGAAAACAAAGTATTTGAATTTCCTATATTGTAAATACTGTTGCCTTAAAAGTTTAAAAAGTGTATTTATAAGAATATATCTCGTATTTTCGCTTCTTAGTGATATCTAATAGTTGATATTATTAAATATATTAATAATGTACTGTATCAACCCTGAAAAAAAAACAACTCAAAGTTGGCTTGCAAATGATGATCGATAACATACTGCTTTTTGAACAAAGTATCACAATACGACATGGCCAGATCTATTGTTTTACATCACTAAACTTGACGTTTAAAGTCATAGGCTACTTGTTAAAATCAAGAAAAAGATACGCTTTAAAACTAAATTTCAAATAACTTAAAAACGATTTATTTTAGGTATAGGAGTATGTATTGTCAAAAAGTAGCGAATTGAAAAGCCTTTTCACTAGTGAAATAAAAAAAGTGGGTTGCCATTTGAAAAAAATTATTTATGATACTTTTTTAATCTCTCAATTCCATGGTTGCTGCAGCCATTATTATATGACATTCAAACAATTTAATTTTTGGAATAGATAGCCACATGTCTTCTCTTTATGACACAGTTGCTGTGGTAATCACTAAATTTGACGTTTAGAATATACACATAGTTTTGACAGGCAGTTTTTTTCGTCCAAAAATTTTAAATATTTTTTTCTCAAAAACAGTTAATGTTAGGTATAGAGTGTTTGATATCAATATTCATAAAATTTTACAGAGAATTTAAGTATGTAATAAAAAATGGAGGCACCTATTTAAAATAAAAAAGTTGTCGTCAACTTCCGGTATTTCCGGAAGTGCCGCCATATTGAAAATATTTTTAATCGATAGATCTCGTTGTAAAACAATGATGTGCAAAAAATCTCCGGTCTAGATATTGTAGTTCTCTAGAAACTTCTAATGCACCCTCAGCCGGACACACCCTGTATATCTCTGACTAACTATTAACTGCTACTAACCAACAATTTGCTTTTGTGTGGTCTGTGATCTGTTTTTGTTTAAATGTTTTGTTCAATATTCGTGTTGGGGATTTATTTTTAAATTAATGTTAATCGTTAGGCAACCTCATAGAATACGTATTTCTTTAACATAACCAAATTTTCACTCTAAATAGCTGTCTATTTTAGACAGATGTCACTTGTCTTGTCATTATTCAATTCATTATTCGAATTCTCAGAATATTGTTAACAAAAGTTTTATCTTAAAATAAAATTTTAATCAATCACAATTGTTTATCTCCATAATTTACCGGATTAGTAATCCAGAAATTACAGTTTAATTACAAACAATTCGTTATTTATAGTGATCTATAATAATTTTATTAAATTATACGAATATTCTCATTGATTATTGGTTTGAAGTAGATATACTTAACAGTGTCCTCCAATAAAAATGCGAGTTACTAACCCTAAATTCTAATTCTGAGCTGGCAAATGAGCTAGATACTTTACCGTTATTCAGCAGCTACAAATCTGTCGATGGAAATATGTATGAAAAGTTACTTCCTAGCACACGAGGTTGGTACAATTTTCTTAGCCGCGTATTGCACAGATACCCAGTGTTGCCACAAGCTTATTTTTCATCGGGGTAGATTATCACGAGATAGCAGGATTAAATTGTTTTACAAAGGAGCAGAACTACCCCGAATGGGGTAGCTGTGGCAGCACTGCCGTTATCACTTTTCAATGACGGCCGTCATTGCCGAGGCCGAGTTTCACGGCCTTGAATTTTTACTCCTAACGCGCGTAAACAAGTTTCACTTCAAAAATCAATGATCTAATTGTTATTATCAGTTTCTACGTTATTTGCTATAGTATGTTTTACTTAATTCATTACTGATAGGAAAGGATTTGATATTACACTTATCTATAAACAATATAATTTATATTAAACAATTACTTGTTGAGAATTTGAATTTGAAATATTTATATTAGTAAAGTGTATTTATTTATTTAATTAGGTAAATATTAATATACATATAATTTTTAGCCGCTTAGAAAGCGTTAAATATTCGAAACAAACTAGTTTACTATTAATATTTATATATTTTTTCAGGAATCGTAAATTGAAATTTTAATACACCGACAGCTGAAAATTTTCATATATTGTAAAGTTGAAAATATATTTTGTTCTAGTGAGTTTGGTGATTTTTTAAGGAATATGTAGTTAAGTTTTTTACTTTTAAATTAAAAATTATAATCCTCGTCTGTTTATTATAAGATTTTTTTTTATTAATACCAGTAAGGATTAATAACAACGTTAGCATTAAAAATAAACGCGCCTTTTTATTTAGGTCCAAATCAACACACCTAAGAAATAAGACTTATTGTTTTTGTCCTCCTCATTGAAAAAACATATTATTATTTGATGACAGTTACTCAAGCAGAGATGGTCTTAAATCCAGGAGTTGTATCGACTATTGTTGTTTTAATTGAATATGCTAGAGATCATCATCTGGACTTAAAACCATCTCTGCCAAAGTAACTATACTTCTAAAGAATGTTGTAAATCGTTACAGTATTTTTCAAAATTAAATATCTCCAATAAAAATAAGGCTATAAAGATTGAGATGGACTAAAAACAAAACTATAGAGAAAAGACAGACGTTGATGATAAAGTCGTTTTTAAATTTCTTACTCTATTTAAACTTTCGGCAAAATCGCAACATTTTGTATTACCTCGTGTAATAGACAGATGAGGACTGAGGACTGAATATTTTAAAGTGCCCCTTTTTCAGTGAAAATACACTCGGATGCCCAAAAAAACGAATGGGCAAATTGGAGAAATTATTGGTCAAATTTAAAACGTTATATTTTTGTTATTTTTAGTCCTATTTTCACGTATTTTCATGAATTTTTTAGCAAGCTGTATATAATTATATCAACTTTAATTCGCTAACTCTGCATAATTTGGCATATTATACAGGGTTAATTGAGAGGTTGTTTTTTACCCTAAGTTTAAACACCCTGTGCAATAATTTCCTATGTAAATTTTCCTAAAATATAATTTTACGATCAGAACCATGTCTACTGAGCATTTTGTTTTTTGAATCATGTGAATACATGCCCTGCTTAATTTTTAAGAACTTGCCACCAACAATTTTTTCAATGATCATTTCTTTTTGAAGTTATTTTTCAATATGGCGAGGCGGCTTTGGTGATTATTGTGAACTATATACCTACTACTATGTTAAATCAAGTTCGACGTTTGGGAAATGCTTGGCAGAAGGTCGCGAATCGGTACTAGCTTCATTAAATGAACTTCGCTTGGTCCTTAAAGAAGAATGGGAAAACATAACGCAATATGATATATGCACACCCAATGACAGTATGAACGGAGAGAGTCCCTTGGCTGTTATATATACAGGGT